CGGAGGATTTATCAGAGGAACCCGCTGGATCGTCTATTGTATCAGCCGCTGAGTACGACAACCCGGGAGATGGCTTGTCACTGGATGATGCAGAGAACCCCCTGCAACTGCTTGCACGCGCTTCCGACTTACAGCTGTCACCAAGTGATATGCGTGGTGTATCGCGATTGACATCGTCGACGCTATTGCAGCCATCGGGAATCTACAATGTCGATGACGGCGACACTATGGCCTCAGCCACATCATTCTTTATTCCCACCAGCGCAAGCTTGGACACTGGTCCCACGTTGGATCCCATTGAGCTGGGGCTCGTTACGCTCGATGAAGCAGAATCGCTGTTCTCATAGTATGTCCAAAGATAAGCCCAGTTCTTCTTCAACCACCGGAATCACTAATCCCGTCCAGTTTCTACCGCAACCTCGCCCACACTCGATGGGGCCTCGACCCTCTGATCCATAGTGTGTCATTTGTCCGTTCGCAGTCTGCGTTTCTGTTCACCTCGATGATGGCTGCAGCGGCGTTGTTCTTGCCCTCAGCCGCGGCAATATCGAAGAGACTGTCTAGACATCGTGCATTCCTAGCCCATGATGTCATCACTCAGCGGCATCGATCAGTCGAGATAGTTCTTGCTTTCATGGTAAATGTCCCGTGGATGGACCCCGGAAACCACTTAGGGGATGACGATACCTGCATCTATATCGCGATGGCTCTGACTGTTGCATTGGATCTATCTCTGAACAAAATTGTACTGCCCTCAACAAGCTTCGACAGCAGTCTTCTAAAACGACTTGCCAAAGCTGAATGCATCGATGCAAAGAGAGCACTGCAGATGGACGGCTTTGGTGACGTGACTTCAGACTCTGTATGGGGTCGTAGGCTCTTGCGACGACGCGAGAGGGCGTGGATTGCGCTCTTCGTACTCGAACGAGGGTAAGATCTCTTATTTTGAGGCGATACAGAGGAGATCAGTTGCTCTGCAGTATTCTAAAAGGTCTCTACAGTGTATGCCTTGCCCGGGGAAGAAATTATACGGTGCCCTCAACAGCTCTCATTGAGAACTGTGATCAATGGCACCTTTCTGACATCGCCGACTCTCGTGATGGTCCAATGAATTCCATGGCCGTCCTCCGAAGAAATCTGGTGAGTTGACTTTCCCTGCTCTGGACCGAATCCGCGCAAGGCCACTATGAAACGCTTCTAACAGAAACAACATCATACCTCGCCTAATAGGATGAGCTTTTCAAAAGAATAAGAGCCGAGTGCGATAAATCCACGAATACTGGCCCGGGAGCTGCTCAACTGTGCGTACGATTGACGAGTTTCGGAGTATTCAAGCTGATCTCGGTATTCAGGATAAAACAGCACATTGAGAGTTTCTACGGGCAATGGTATAAGGCTTGGACACCGGCTATTGGCGAAGGCCAAGGTAAGCAGCTGTCGCCACCTTTCCCTCAACAGGTGCTAAAAGTTTATCAAGCATCATCTCTTCCACCGTATGTTGAGATCTTGGTTATACACACGCAGTTATCGACATATGGGGGCGTGATCAACCATCCCACAGCGCCACTCGACGTGAAAAGGTTTTTCCGTGCAGCGGGCCTCTCGTCTGCGTTGAATGTTCTGAGGGCAGCCATCCAGGGTGAGTCGCGGTTGAAGTCAATGCCGAACAATACTGTTATCATGATTTCGTTCGCGGCATGCTCGGCATTGAGTTTAAGTACCATGCCGCCAGATAGCAGATCTAGCCTGGCCCCTAGCGTGCGAAATCTGGTTGAAGAAACTGCGGCGGTTCTGGAAAGAATAGGGGCTGTCCCAACCCACAGGAACGGAGCCTCGGTACTTTATGGAAGGTTTCTGCGAGAGCTTATTCGGCGCTCTCCTTCGAGCTTGCAGCCTGAAAGAACCCCCGAAATCCGACCGCTAAACCAGGCTGAAAGGTCTCGGCCGCCAACCACAGTAGACTCATATGAGCCAGTCATCAGAACACAGGAATCATCCTCATTGCCCTCAATGTTCTGGTCCGAACCGATCCAATTCTCCGCCATGTCTGACGATCAAATTATTGATGCCGTCAACCAAGTGGACACAGCCTTCGGGACTTTTGTTCCTGGTATTCCTATGGATGACTTGACGCATTGGGAATGGCTTGATTTTGGAAGCAACAATGCGACCGACATTAGCAGCATATAATTCATTGCTCCACAAATCCGTTCATTCTCACTATATTCAAACAAACAGTTTTACTCACAATTCGTAGCTTATCCTAGTTCTCCTATTGATCGATTACATCATTGGGGCATGATCCACATGTCGGCGTTCAGAAGTAGCGCCGAACGCCGAAGGGTGCCGACCTTTCCAAGTTGTTTTAAAAGCCAACGTCTTCCTGTCCCTCTCCTCGCGCCAACTCGAGAGTCAAATCGACGCTCGTGTCAATCGGAGTAATAGGCAGAACATCTTGGCTATGGCCACACTCAGAATCTCGACAGTCGCTTTGTCGCGGAGGACAATCGTCGCCGCTCGGCCGCAACCCCCTCTGCAATTGCGACAAGTCAATCCTCGGTCCTTTCTAGGTAGTAATAAGAATCGGGCTTCTGCTCGCTTTTCGACAGCCAGGGATGAGACCTACTCGCAGGCTCCAAGGATCGATCGTGGGGCCTCAAAACTGTTCGGAAGTGCAGATGAGGCAGTGGCCGACTTGAAGAGCGGGTCAACCATTCTCAGCTCGGGATTCGGCCTCTGTGGTGTTGCAGGTAATACTAGCCATAGTCCTAAAACCTTGGCAACATCGAATGACTGACCTTGCAACTAGAAACTCTGATAGCGGCGATTCACCGCCGAGGTGTGGACAGTTTACATTCACTAACTGCAGTCTCCAACAACGCAGGTGCTGCTGGAAAAGGCGGGCTTTCAACGCTAACACAGGCTGGACAAGTGAATCGGCTTGTCCTCTCCTATCTTGGCAACAACAAGGCATTGGAAAAGAAGTATCTTTCGGGTGAAATCTCGATTGAGCTCACACCGCAAGGAACACTGGCTGAGCGGCTACGCGCTGGTGGCGCTGGTATTCCAGCCTTCTTCACCCCCACAGGTGCACGTATGTCTCACCACATCAATATCTCCCCAACAGTACGCCAGGTTCGAACAATGGCTACTATGTGAACTTCACTGACTTACATCGTGTAGATACCCTGCTACAAGATGGAGCGATACCCGTTCGGCTGGATGCGCACGGAAAAGTGCTCGAGCATGGCAGACAACGTGAGACCAGGGCATTTAATGGCAAGACCTATCTAATGGAGACTGCACTGACCGGAGACGTGGCAATTCTCAGAGCATGGAAGGCCGATGAGGCAGGAAATTGTGTGTTCCGGTAAGGATCATTTACCACGATTATTCCCCAGAGGCACTTTATATACTGAACCTCAAAACACAATCTAGGTATACTACCAAGGCCTTTGGTCCGATCATGGCCAAAGCAGCTACCCTGACGATTGTCGAGGCAGAGAATATCGTCACCGTGGGCTCGATCGACCCCAATGATGTTGATCTTCCGGGGATTTTCGTTGATCGGATTGTTCCCGCTACTGAAGAAAAGCACATCGAAATTAAGAAGCTGAGATCAAGCAATGATGAAGGCGCCGGTGCAGCTATCAAGGGTGCAGCAACGTCCCAAAGAAATCGCATCGCCAGGAGAGCTGCCAAGGAGCTTAAGCACGGTTACTATGTGAATCTGGGAGTTGGTAGGTGGTGTGGCGCAATATGTCTCACTGCAGGTGTACTCATGATTTTGAAGGAATCCCGACCCTTGCTCCCTCATTTCTGCCGCGTGATGTGAACGTCTGGATACAGTCCGAAAACGGTATTCTCGGCATGGTAAGAGATCGCTTTCGACTACACTTTCAGCAAAGCTATGATGACTAACTTCTATAACAGGGCCCCTATCCCACAGAGGAAGAAGTGGATCCGTGAGTGGTTAACTCCTGATACAGGTAGCTCACGTTCGGATTTCTCACCCGACTCTTTCTAGGGACATTATCAACGCAGGAAAAGAGACAGTTACCCTAGTTCCGGGAGCTGCCACCTTTGATAGCACCGAGTCATTCGGCATGATCCGTGGGGGCCATGTGGATGTCTCCATTCTAGGAGTATGTGTGGACTACCCTCGTCCATCATTGCCAGAATACTCCGACTGACGCTCTTATTTCAAGGCTCTGCAAGTCAGCGCCAACGGCGACCTGGCAAATTACATGATCCCCGGTAAAGTCTTCAAGGGAATGGGCGGGGCCATGGATTTGATTTCCAACCCAGATCAGACCAAAATTGTAGTAGCTATCAGTCATACAGCAAAGGACGGATCGCCCAAGATCGTATCTCAATGCAGTCTTCCTCTGACGGGAGCAAACTGCGTTAGTACAATTATCACAGATCTGGTAAGCCCGCAAATCTCCGGCTCCTGGGACTCTAGGTTAGCTAATGGGTGTGGTGTGGTTAGTGTGTGTTTCAAGTGGACCGGAAGAAAGGGGAGCTCCTGCTGACAGAACTTGCTCCGGGAGTGGAAGTTGAGGAAGTGAAAAGCAAGACCGGAGCGAGCTTTGCGGTCGCAGACCACCTGGAAATCATGGAGTGATGTGGTGGTAGCGCCTCCGGTCATTCTATGATTATACTGTACATACATAATCCTCAGGTTCCAGTGTAAAAAAAGAGAAACTGTCGCACGGTAACCAGAATTGCATGCCGAGGCGGATCGCACTTGCAGCAACCAAATCCGGGGAAGAACTGTAGAGGGCACGGAGTACGTAGACCGTGGACCTAAAAACTGCGGGGAAAAAAGAAAGGTAGGTGGGGTGGGTGGAGTTCCTTCCTTTAAGTACAGTACTTAGTAAGTTACTAACTGCGACTAACTACCTACTGTACCTAGTATTATACCTAGTACAGTACCTACCTATAGTACTATAGGTACTAGGTAGGTACCTAGTACTTAGTAGATCCTTCCTCTATAAGCGGCTGGAGTAGCTACCTAGTCCGGTATCCCTTCAGGTAGGTACTGTACAGAACTTGGAAACTACTAACTACCTACTCTACTACTGGGTAACTCAACTCCCCTTGCATACCCTTCTCGCAGCCAGCGGTCTAGATTGCTTTTTTCCGACCACTTCCTCCTCTCTGACTGATCTCATCCCACCCTCGCTACTTCGCTACTCCTCTGACTGGACTGCTGCTGTTTCTACTGTCGCTATACTGTCGCTTCATGCACCATAGTCCATGGACTCAGCACCCGAAAGTAGTATGCAGAACATGGATCCTCTTCAGCCGCAGGGCAAAGACCACGAACCCGCCAAGCAGGAACTTCTCGTGGAACAAGGCCGTGACGACGAAGAACATCAGCGATGGATACGGAATCTCTTGTTCAAAATGGACTGCAGGTTAGAGCCAATGATTTTTATCATCAACTTTTTTCAAGGCCACCAACGCGTGCTTCTTTTAGGCTCCTGCCGACCCTATCCGGTCTCTTCCTCTGTTCTTTTCTCGATAGGACCAATGTAGGCAACGCCAAGATTCTGGGCCTGGAGGACGATGTCAACATCAGTGGCCATCAGTATGATATAGGACTGACGGTATTCTACATCATGTACATCTGCAGGTGAGACAGGCCACATACACTATCAACTTTTTTCTTCTCCACTCTTTCTGGTACTAATTCGGTTACGTTTTGTGAAACGTCGATCAGTGAGCTCCCCAGCAACCTGGTCATCAGAAAGGCCTCGCCCAAGTTTTGGCTGCCCTTTCTGACGATGATCTGGGGCATCTTCACAATGTGCTTGGGTTTCGTGCGCAACTTTGCTGGCTTCGTCGTTGTCCGAGCCTTCTTGGGGACTGCCGAAGGCGGACTACTTCCTGGAATCGTGGGTCCTGACTGGGTTTTTTGTCTTTCTCTGGAGTAGACTGACTAATTCCGGCTCGAGGTCCTGTACCTGTCATTCTTCTACCGACGAAATGATTTGGCTTTGCGCATCGGAGTTTTCTATACAGCCGCTTCCCTGTCGGGGGCTTTCGGGGGTGAGTCAACAAACCGTGGGACGAAATTTTTTAGAGGCTTTTGATCCTTAATTGGAGTTATACAGGGGCCTTAACTAACAGGATGAAGGCCTTTTAGCGCGTGGACTAGCCCAAATTGGCCCTCGAGGGGGGCTTGAAGGATGGCGCTGGATCATGATCATCGAGGGCTTACTGGTGAGTTTTACTGCACCACGCACGGCAGTGAGTTGGTGTTACGTCTAATATGGAGCACAGACATTTTCTGTCGGCGGGCTGAGCTGTTTTCTGCTGCCAAACAGTCTAGAGACGGCATTTTTCTTGACTCCAGAGGAACGAGCATTTGCTCTCGAAAGAGTCATGCTTGACACCCCCTCAGTTGAGTACGCGTAAGTCAGGGCTGCCCTTTCAATTCTACGAGCCAGCATTCCCACCCACCTGGAGATACTGACTCTTGAGATTAGGACGACGGAGGATGAGCGGGAGACTCTCAAGTGGACTGAGGTGCGACGAGGGCTTCTAGACCCACGAATGTGGTTGTCTGCCACAGCCTACTTCTCAATCTTGTCAGGGCTGTACTCATTCGGATTGTTTGTAAGTGACTTATGTTCTCGGCTCTTTTCTACTAGGGCTAAGCCTGCTACAACGTCTAGCTCCCAACCATCATTGAAGAAAGTGGTTTTGCCCGAGATCCGAACCAAGTACAATTCTGGACCGTTATACCATATGCTGTTGCCACCGTCGTGACCGGTGAGTCTTTGAGCATGCATCTTTCGGTGTCTACCACAAAGCTGAACCGTGCTTAGTGGTTGTGGCTGTGGTATCGGACCGGTTACAGCTACGCGGAGTCGTGATGCTTTTCACATTACCGGTTGCCATAGCTGGATACGGAGCAATTGCCAATATATACTCGCCATCAGCCAAGTATGCAATGACCTGTCTTATGGCCACTGGATTGTATAGCAGTGTACCATGCATCTTGGTCTGGAATTCAAACAACTCTGCAGGACATTATAAGCGTGCCACCACGTCTGCCATGCAGCTTACCATTGCCAACTGTGGAGGGCTTCTTGCTAGTAGGTTCCTCTCCCTATGTCGTAACAGCAAAACTGGAATCGCGCTCATTCAAAAGCAGCTTTCAACTACCCCGACCAAGACAAACCCCAGTATCATCGAGGACACACAGTAGTTCTGGGACTTTTGGTGTTTGCATGGTTCATGTGAGTTGGGCGACTAGATCTTGGAAGCCAGGGGATGATTGCACGGAGCTGATGTGGAGCCGCAGGATCTTTTTCAATGTTTTATACTGTGCCAAGATCAACCGGGACAAGGCACAGGGTAAATATGCACAATATGCCGAATGCCATGATGACCGAGATCCTGCATTCAGAATGATGCTATAGCCCGTGTAGAACTTTTGAGTGTCGGTGTTGAAGTGATCGGCCGACCGGCGACAGAAAAATCGAAAAGCTAGCCAGAAGGCCGGTAAATCAACTCTTTGACTGCTTTCCACATACCTAGTGATTAGACATACATGGATATGATCGTCATATGGGAGGCTGCAGGCGTTGTCACTTTTGCTGTACTGTAACTCTGCAGATTTAGGTCCGAAGGACGCATGCTCCAATATTGAACACATTACATTATTCCACTCCTCTTCTGTGAAGATAGCAGACTTGGCACGTGTAATCGTTTATTCCTTGCAAGCTACATGGAGGGAATAGGACCCGCATCCAATAGAATTGTGAAAAGCATCTTTCACTAGTATCATGGTCATATATTGGTCCACCTGCTCATGGAAAACGCTGATTATCGACAGAAACTAGCTCAGAATCAAGCGGCACACAGTGCTGCCAAATAGTAAGGCTCAGCCTCGTGGTCTCTTTTGGGGTTGATAACAGAGAAAGCAAGGTTAAACTTACATGGAGGAAAGGTCAACGTATAATGGCTTCTCTATCACTTTGTTGGCATGGCCTCGGTCATGGCATGGTTTATTTTCCGGCACCTGGAGACTTACCCATTCCTCGAGAAGCTTTTCTACCTCTCGTAGTTACTCTCGATGCCTGTTGAGTCATGAATAATCAAGTCCTTGAACGTATGTGGCTTGTATCCGTCAGAACACCGTTATGTGCTGCGAGCGTTTGACTCTTTTGTGCTGACTGTGGGAGTCAGTTGGTCGCTAATGTGTGTGCTTGGCGCTTCTTGCTTCTTCTAAGTGTGGATGCTGTACCTTGAAGGTGTTGCTTGTGCCGTACTTTGATGAACGCTAACTATTTATTTAAGGATAGCTGGCTGGGGCTAAGATTGGTGGCAGGCCATCAGTGCACTCAAAATCGATGTGCATAGAAGAGATAGTATCACACTATGAGCGAGACAGAGAGCGCGCGCACGAACCGAGGGAAAAGAAGATGTTTCGCGGAATGGTAATATGTACAAAATAGTCAAGGCTCTAGACAACGTCGGACCTGACTACAATGAAGCTGTCGGCTTGAAGTCCGACTTCGGAGGCCACTTCACCCGCCGCTCGGCTCTCACGTATAGATTATTCGGCCTAATGAGCTGGAACATTGGGTCGTACTCCACCGTCGAATCCCCCTCTCGGGTGAACTTGTATCGGTACACAAGCTTAGGCAGGAATATCTTCACCTCCTGCAGGGCAAAGTTGAAACCAATACACATGCGGGGGCCTGTTGCGAAGGGGATATATGCGGTTTTATGCCGGTTCTTCACGGCCTCCGTGTTCCAGCGGTCCGGGTCGAAGCGAGTGGGATTATCCCAAACATTCGAGTTATTGTGCAGATGGTGCAACGCCCCGACCACAACAGCGCCCTCGGGAAGTTTGTACCCCCCCGGCAAGATCATATCAACTTTGGCGGTCCGGGCAGGCTGTGCAAAAGCACGTCAGTAAACTATGGGCTAGGGTCCTCCACGCTAGGGGACATGAATGGCTCTCCTACCTGGAATGACGGGTTGTGGCGTCTTTGGGTTTCTTTAATGAACTTATCCATGAATGTGAGTTGATCCGTGATATCGGCGGTGAGCTGAGTATCTTCGGTGATACCGTGGTCGACCAGCTCCTGGAGGAGTCTCTCTTGCATGCCGGGATAGGTCACCAACGAATAGATCAGCCATGACAGCAGAGAGCTAGTGGTGGTGAAGCCGGCACCCGTGGCCACGAGCAGGGCCTGCATCAGCGAAGTCTTGGGCAGCTTTTCACCCTTGTTGTCGGTTGCACGAATCGCGTAATCGATCATGTTGTCCGCTTGCAGGGCAGCTTCCTGCAGTGGAAGATCATGGACGCCGCCGCGGCTAGCATTTTGGATCGACTCGTCGATCAGCTCGAAGACCCGGCCGCGGATATCCCGCAAGCGCTTGGGGTCCCCAAAGGGGAGCTTCGAGTACCAATCACCCCGCGCACTCACCTTCTTGTTGAGCTCCAGGGACTCGGCGATCAGGAGGATCAGCTCATGGGGCGGGGCCGTGGCCGAGGAGAAGTGCTGGAAGTCGATGCCCAGGACCAGCTTGCCTACTGCCTGCGAGCCGAGCTTGAGCATGTACTGGTACACGTTCCAGGCCTCTTCCGCCTCATCGAAGGCGTCGAACACCTTGAATGCATCCTCGACGGTGCGCTGCATGGTGGGCGCGTAGTGCCGCACCGCTTTTGGTCCGAAGGCTGGCGGGAGGAACTTATGGGCGACGTGCCACGTCGGGCTATCGGTGTCGGCGAGAAAGACACCAGCCTCGGTGTTCTTGATCGGGTACAGAGGGTGTGCCTCGTTGATCTTCTTGGTAAAGAAGTCACTCTCCGAGAAAATGATTGCGCTCAGTGCCGGGTCATTGGTGTGGTAGGTCGTGCGGCCCATGCTGCTGGTTTGGAAAATCGGCCCATACTGCTCGAACAGACGCTGGTGGTTCCCAAGATGGTCGGGGTAGATCTGAAAGAAATTGCCAAAGATTGGGATACCCTGGGGTCCTGGGATCTCTCTGACCGGCTTCCCATCGATGGTGATGCTAATCTGGCCCTCCGATGAGCAGACCTCGGGGGTTCTGTGAAAAATGGCGTCCTCGGTCTGCAGCCCGATACCTGTCGTTGTTCAGTTGGAATACACAGGAGGATACTGAATTTAGATAGATGTAAGGGGGCAGATTCAATTACCATTGGGGTCAACAATGGCGAAATGCGCAGCGAGAAGATGCTGCAGTTCTTCGAAATCAAGGGCTGAGTCCACCTCAATTTCCCTGGCAGTGGCTATGGGCTCACCCAACAGGTAAAATTGTTTCACTGGCATGATTACGTTCGTATATGGGGTGAAGGCGCGGTGGAGAGATAGATGGGCAGTCGAATTTCCTTTGCGCGCCATGCCGCTTTATACGCTTTATAGAGGATCGAAAATAGATGCGACGCAGCCTCCTCGTCTGGACACTGCGCCGGACAAACCAAAAATAAGCGCGGCCATGTTGGCCAGGAAGACGAATCCACATAAGTTACTCCATAGTGTATAGTTACCGGTACGTAGATATTTTCCAGTGTTCCACACACGAGAGAGACAGAAGATAACGGGGGGTGATAGGATCCATGATCGGTGGCCTGACAGCCTGCCTCGGCAAGTTAACCCGCAACGTTGGGGAGAAATTCAAGACGGGAAGCGATCGTCATTTTCGGGGCCCACCATGCGTACCTGCGTAGTACATGAGAACTACCATTATGCTTCGGTCTCAAGCATAACCGAACATCGGCTTCCCAGAACTTCCAAAAATGGGCATAGAACGGCATAGGTAGCCCTACAAAATTCCCCTGCTGGCTCGGCAGACCGGCCTGCTGCAACGACCTTCAAATTACAATCTCCGACGCAGGTGGGCCGACTGGATCACTTCCCCTTTACTCCCCTTCCAATTATCCCGGAGGAAAAAGAAAAAAAAAAGAATTGGAAAGGAAAAGGGAGAGGGAAAAAAAGAAAGGAAAAGAAAAGAAGTCGCCCAATCAGAGTGGTCGCATTGCCGGTTTATGCCATGCTATGCTTCTGGGCAATCATGTTATATTGCGCAGCATTTATCCTGCGACCTTGGGGCCAGGAAAGTTTCCCTGAACCAACTTGAATCCATTATTTGATACATTATTGACAATGGAACAATCTATAACATCAGAGTCACCGGCTCAGGTGGTAGCGGATGTCCAGCTGCCCGAATACTCCTTGGCTGAGGTTGCAACACACAACAAGAAGGATGATATCTGGATCGTCGTTCACGGACAAGGTATGACACCTTGTGATGACCTTGGGAGATATTTAGACACTAACATTTTATAAGTATTCGACGTCACGAAGTATCTCCAAGACCATCCGGGAGGTGCGGAGGTTCTTCTGGAGACCGCAGGTACAGATGCCACCGCCGATTTTGAGGATGTTGGCCATTCGGAGGATTCGCGCGATATTCTGCAAGAGTATTTGATTGGCACCTTGAAAGACGCCAAAAAATATGTATCCCCGAAAGCTGTTCGCGTCATCCCTCAAAGATCCGAGAAGACAACACCACCAAGTTCATCTTCAGCACGATCAGTGGGTGCGATCGTCGGTGCATTGGGTACGGCGACAGCTCTACTGTATACTGTCAACCGAAGCAATCCGGGCGCCATTGATATGAGGAAGGCCTGGGGCCAAATCGTCCCTTCTAAACTCAATCTGTCCAGACTCCCGGGCGGGGAATTTGCCCACGGGTTCATCCTGGCAACGGCTGTCTGCGCGCTGCTGGGCAGCCTGGTCGCGCAGCAGGCCGCAAAATTCACGAAAATCGACTCGGGCTTCCTCCGATACCCTCCTCGCATCAAGGCGCGGAAACGCCCGAGAGCTGACCCCCACTTGGCCAAGGGCTTTCTCGACGCCAAGGAATTCCAGCGCCTGCCGTTGGTGCGGAAGGATGAATTGGCATCGAATGTGTACCGCTTTGTTTTCGCATTACCTGACCAGAAAGGAGTCATCGGCCTTCCAATCGGACAGCATGTCGCCATTCGAGCGGTTGTCAATGACACCACCGTCAGCCGATCGTACACGCCGGTGTCGAACAATCTGGACCTGGGCCGCCTCGAGCTGCTCGTCCGATGCTATCCCGATGGGCTTTTGAGCGGACAATACCTTGCCAAGCTCGAGGTGGGCGACGAGGTAGAGTTTCGAGGTCCCAAGGGATCTATGCGGTATAGCAGGGGACTGTGCACTAAGATCGGGATGGTGGCTGGAGGCACAGGCATCACCCCAATGTACCAATTGATCCGTGCCATTTGTGAGGACGACCGCGACACCACGGAGATCAGCCTCATCTACGCGAACCGTACGGAGAATGACATCCTACTGCGCGAGGAGCTGGAGGACTTCGCTCGCAAGTACCCTAAGAATTTCAAGCTCTGGTATATGCTTGACACGGCGCCTGATGTGTGGCAGTATGGCACCGGTTACGTGACCCAAGCGGTGCTCAGCGAGCGTCTACCGTCGCCATCCCCCGAAACCAAGATCTTGTTATGTGGCCCTCCGCCAATGGTCAGTGCCTGCAAGAAGACGCTAGTGGCGATGGGGTTCCAGAAACCAGGAGCGATCTCTAAAATAGGCGATCAAATCTTTTGCTTCTGAGACAGGCCCATGGTCTCACACTGACTTAGATTTGCATGTACATAGATAACAATAACAATTTAGAACTGGGCCGAGGGTGGCACCATTGTACCTGTAGAATTGTACAGTCAGGTAGACCGTTTTGAGATCCCCTCGAACGCCTCAAAACGCCTCAAGCGGAAGTGGCCCGGGAAAGGCTTGAAGTTGGTACTCCACTGAGGGTCAACCTCGATAATGTCGCAGACTCGCAGGCTCGTAGACAGAACCAGTTACATTTGACTGGCTGGACGTTGTATTGTACGCACTGCCGTGACTCGTACTCCGACGATGCAGAGGGTGAAAAAGGAGAAATGCCCGAGGTGAGTGGAGGCAGAGGCAGGCTAAACCCTACAACCAAGCGCTCCTCCTGTCTTTGAACCTCGGCTGATCAACAACATTATTATTATTTTTTTGACATATGTTATTGACAACTTGACAGTCAACCAATTCCTGATAGGCCGGGATCTTCCTTGCTTGCTTGCGTTCGGGATTTCTCTGCAAGATTATCCAGATTCCAGATTATTCTGATGTGGAGACGCTGTTGGAAGCCGAGGTAAAAGTTTCATTGTTAGAGACGTACGTAGTCTTGTCCAGTACAGTACTAGTACAATACGGAGTACATACATGCTGTCTAGCTATTTGTTTTTGTACAGTACATCTATGTACATATCATACCGTATTGTACACCTATGGTAACTTAGCGATGCCTATCTGCCAGCCCAGCACTAACAAGAAGAGTTTCCTGCGCTTTCTTCTGTGGCAAAAACCAAAATGAAACTTGTTTGACTTGTCGGACTTCTCATGACTAGTTACAGTACATCTATCTACATGAATAAGTGGTATTGTTCTCTGCGCTGCCACCACTCCGCGGTAACGTGCGCTCGCAGCGCGCACAAGCTTGGCGCGAGGTTCAAAAGTCCGCTCTATGCCATGCGCTAACTATGTGACCACTCCTCAAGAGTCTCTTAGAAGGTTGAACAGGGAGCACCACGGGGCAAATGCGTATCCCACTGCGATTGGATTAACACTCGTCAGCGTCGCATGTTTTAGAGCATCGAGTGCTGATCGTGAGCCGTCGTGGATCGTAAGGCGGCGCGCGGTAAGTTAACTTAGGCATCATGAATGCCGCCGAAGCGTCCACCAGTCCGACCGATGTCTCCGCCCCCTCGCGGCATCGAACTCTTCGGGGCCAAGCTCTGCTCATATGTGCAGCTGCGCTTTGTGCCGAAGACGGAAAGTTAAATGCGACAGGCAGCGACCAAGCGCCAACTGTACGCGCACAAAGCATGAGTGTGTCTATCCACCTGGCCGTGGGAGGGCCCGAAAGCAACCGCGCAACCGTGCATTGGAGGCCCAACTTGCGGGGCGATTGTCTCATTTGGATGCCATGATCCGACAGCTGAGGTCTCGAGAAGGCGGTAGAGCCTCGGTAGACCCTTCTTCTTCGCCTCCGCCCGGAAACCCAGACGTGGTGAGCAGAGATGTTTAGAGGAGACATTCCTCCGTACGGGATGCTGGAGATGTACCCAACAGGACCAGGGCCAGTCAACCTGTGCAGCCTGGAGTGCCGCCAGCAGAAGAGCTCCTGGTCCAAGATGGTGCCTCTACCCGATACATAGATGAGGTGCTCTTTGCGCACGTGCTTGAGAAGGCTAGTAGTACTGACTTGGTTCCCAAAACGAGCGATCCTGGAACTGACTGGCCCCAATCAACAGGATAACGACATTCGATCGGCTATGAGCAGCCCTAGGAGTATCGATGCAAGTGGTCAGCGGCCACTTCGATACATGCGAATTCGATGGCCTTATCTCAGATCCCATGCCGGCCTCGTACTGTCGAAGTCCGTCGCGCAAACAGGCAACGCAGCTGTGGCAGGTCTACCTGAATATCGTCGACCCCCTTCTGAAACTTCTCCATATTCCTAGCGTCAACTCTCTTGTTTTCGCGGCCATAAATAACCCGGAAGAGGTAACCGCAGGCACGAGCGCGCTTCTTTTCGCAATTGACTTCGCCGCCGTCACCAGTCTACCATCCTCGGATACTATCCTGCTCTTAAATCAGGACCGGCCGTCCGCACTCAATCAATTTCAGCGAGGACTAGAAATTTCTCTTCATGCAGCAGCGTTTCTGGATTCGCCCACTATTATCACTTTACAAGAGATGACGATCTACCTGGTGACCTTCCCGTTAACATGCCTAGCTGTTTATGCCATACTGACACTTTCCAGAGATGTCGTCGAAGTCCTAGTGGTGGCCGTTCGGGTTGGGCTCTCAATGGCCTCCTCATCCGCAGCGCCCAGTCGATTGGGCTTCATCGAGACCCGGAACATCTTAAGCTCACGCCGCTGGAATGTGAGCTTCGCCGACGAATGTGGTGACAAATCTGCGCGTCCGACAATCGGGCCGCCGAAGATAATGGGCTCTCGACTGGTTGGGTGGAGAATTCATGCTATACGAAGCTGCCCTTGAATGCTGACGACCAAGATATTTACGCGAAAACAGATGTTGCCCCAATCCCTGGAGAGGGATGGATCGAGATGAGTTTGTTTCTAACAACCGCAGAGCTCAACGGAGCATTCCAGCGAGCCTCTCGACTGTCCGTAGGGGTACTTAACAGCCAGAACCCCATGGACAGCTTGGAACAACTGTCAGAGCATGTAAAAGAGAAGATAGAAGCGAAATACTTGAGGTATTGCGATGCCAACATCCCGCTATAGAAGGCTGCCATCTTGCTGAGCCGAGTTTTCCTTGGAAAACTTAGCGTTTTCATCCGGCAACAATACCTGAGAAGACTGTGTGCGGAAGAATCCACTGCTCGTACGGTGGAGGAAACATTTGCACTGGCATGTGACACCTTGTCTCTGGGCATGGAGTTGAAAGAGGACGAGCTTCTGAGCAGTTACCAGTGGCATTTCACCACGTATCCCCAATATCACTTGCTTACCTACACACTGTGGCAGCTCTACGTCCGCCCGGACGTGCCCAGGGCAGAGCGAGCCTGGGAGCTGGTGAACAAGTCATGCAGCATGACCGAACTTGGTTCCAGACCTAGTCCCGGGCCAAAATGGAATGCTCTGCGCAGGCTGCGAGAGAGGGCATTGAGTATGTGCCGCGTTCGTCAAGCCGCACGGATTCCTGCAGTAGATGCAGTGAACACGGAAGCCGACAACACACTGGCTGAGAGGCTAAGTGATGAGGGGCTCGATGAGGCATTTAGGGACGATATACTCCGGGATCTGGATTCAATATGCTTTCCAGATTGGTCGACCTTCCCTCTAGCATTGTGACGGGGGAATGGAATTGGATAGATCAAGTCCAAAGGTTGTATATCTCCTTCGATATATTTGTCCAAGTAATCTAGCTCGAAATTGGGGTGAATCCGACCCAGCGTCATGGGCGCAAACATGGATAGCGGCCAAGCCAAGGGCATATTACTGGTTGTTGCGCAAGCCACTGAGATCCTGCAATGTAATAATCACTGTGGTGTCGAAGTCGAGCGGTGTGTGCGAGGGGTGGATGGGGATGGTGTTCCTCGCGATTCCATCGCGGCTGCGCTTTGATATTATGGTGTAGCCCGAAAGGCATAAGGCATGCATATCCAAGGAGAAGAGAAGCGATCGTGGGAAATGGGGAAAGGGGAAACGGAGAATGTCATCATCGGGTGGGGCAAGAATCCTCATCTGGAACCAGCCGTGACACTCGAGTATTTGAGAGCCGGGCGGTAGCCGGGCTAGACTGACGGGATTCATTCTTCTATTCCCGATGTAGGGACAGAGTCCAAGAGTCCAATCATCGTGTACCCTGCATGCATATGCGTGTGTGGCCACTGGCTGATGTGATTAAATTGTTTTGACCAGCCATGTCTGTTTGGTGGTGTTCATGGCTGTCCGTGTATGCAGCCGAGCGAGGGCTCGACCGTCCACTAGCAAGTGTACGACTAGCATGAACGAATTGGTTATGTCACTTCCCTTCTCCTTGTTGCCTCGCTTGACTAAGACAATGACGTTGGAGTGCAGATGAAGAAAGTGCTTTCACCCAAAATCTCCACCGTTTCCACCAGTTCCACCATTTCCACACTTTCCAGCCCCTCGGGATGCCGATCGGGTCCTGTGTTCTGCAGCCAACAGCAATGGCTGAATTTTCGTTTCTTTCGATGTGGGCAGTCCGTCAGGTCCCTTTAGGCCCCAGCCGCTCCACTCTCACCCCCCGGGGACGATGGGTCCGGTCGGTCCCCTCTGTTCTCTTCAGCACGGTTAACTAATCACCCACCCCTCCTCCCTCATAACCGAGCGCTCGTAGGTATTATTTTCCGTGGGTACGTCATTGGACTCATTCCGGTTTTGCGTCGCCACGGGTCGTCCTCCCTCAGCGTGGGAAAGATATTTCACTGAGCCCATCGCCGGGCTGAACTGCCTTCAATCATACATCACCCTTCCGCCAAACCACTTGGAACTCACTCACGCCCAGCATGTCGCCCACAACCCGAAAAATTGTCTGCTTTTCAGGTTAGAATCTAGGAACGCCCCTGCGGATCCTCTCCACCCTGGCGGCTAATAATTCCGCCTTCTATAGACTTCGATGGCACCATCTTCATGCAGGACACGGGTCATGTCCTGTTCGATAACCTAGGCTGCGGCGAAGAGCGCCGCCGGCTGCTCGACGAACAGATCAAGTCGGGCGAGCGCTCATTTCGAGACGTCTCGGAGGAGATGTGGGGCTCACTCCGAGTCCCTTTCGAAGATGGGTTCAAGATCATGGAGAAGGAGCTAGAGATCGACCCCGGCTTCCGGGAATTCCACCAATTCTGTGTGGCCAACGACATTGATTTTAACGTTATCAGTGCGGGGCTCAAGCCAATCCTCCGCAAAGTGCTGGACACTTTCCTTGGAGAGCATGAGGTATGGTATTCCCGGCGGTGGTCCCTGGGTTTCTTCCCATCATTAATGCATAGCTTGTCCAGGCTTCCCGTATCCAGATTGTCGCCAATGACGCGGATATCAGATCCGACGGGTCCGAATGGAAGCCCATATGGCGGCACGACACCGAGCTTGGCCATGACAAGGCGCTATCCGTCAAAGAGGGCCGCGCTCTCGCGGCGGAGAGTGCCTTGGGTGGGGAAATCCCACTCATCATTTTCATCGGAGATGGCGTCTCTGACCTTCCGGCTGCGCGGGAAGCAGACGTGCTGTTTGCCCGGAGGGGTTTACGCCTGGAAGAATACTGCATCGAAAACAAGATCCCCTATATCGGTTTCGATTCGTTTTCGGATGTCAAGAGAGAGGTCGAAGCCATCATGAAGGAAGACCAGCAGAAAACTGGCGGCGTGGGCAAACCCGCCCGGTTCAACCCTCGCGCAAACATGTGGCGGCGCATCTCCAGCAAGCAAGCTGTAAGTTGGAATTATTCATTTGGCGGGCCATTTTCATGGCGCTTGTTGATGCTAATCTGTCACAGATTCCACAGTTTGTTGCGGCAACTCCCTCGAGGGAGGATAAGATGTTCCTCTGGCCCGAGAGCTTCTCGGAATATCACCCGACGAGCCAGATGAACAATGTTCCCGCATAGAGTTCTTCTTGTCTGTTGATAAGTCACTTACCCACTTCGCAGGCGTTTGGTGTAGTGAGCTGGATACCGGATATAAAGTAGATTTAGATGATTAAACGTAATATAAATGAAAGGTTCTTGTTTCAAACACATCTGATGTATCTGTCCGTTCACTGTATCAGCCGGGTCTGGGGGGGGAGGGTTGTAGAGTGTAATTGTGAATGATGTTTCGCGGGGAGCACTGCCCCAGCCCTGTGTTGAGTCTACTCCAACTAAGCATTGACGTACCCACTGAGCCAACCAGCTTGGTGAAATCAGTTCGACCCTCGGGGGGGGGTCAAGGGGAAGCTGTCGTTGACTTGGTAAGGGATAGCTCATCCTTCGATCGCACTTAACACCGATATTGGAAAAGTGTGACCAGCTCATCAGGACGGAGCCCTGCTGATGGTATTTAGAAGCGAGGTAGCGGCTAAAGGAGGCTGATCAGCCATGTCTTTGAGGGGTTACTCTTCACCAAATTGTCCTTCGTTCTCTGGGAAGACATATCGCGCTCGGTTCGATATCAATTCGTCATCTATCAGTCCCAGACCTGCCACCCAGTCGGAATTGACTCATGGCTCTCAGAGGCACAGCAGTCGAGGGCCTCGCGGCAGGCAGCCTACCATGAGTCTGGGCCCACTCGGGAGGTTGAAGTCCGCTCGTGCGTCCCGATCGGATCGGTCATCCTCCCATCAGTCACGAGAGGGTCAGGAATCCCAAAGGGAATCTCCCCATGGTTCTTCGTATCCCAGTGGTGTTTCTGGGCGCAGGCCGATGCTTCGGGTGCGGTTGGAGGTTAGGCTCCTGGAGCTAAGACCAACCGGTGAGATTCAGAAGCTAGTACTGCCAAAGGTGGGAGGTCGGCTTATCATGATTCAACATAAGGGGGGCCGGGGGTGGGGGGGTGATGCTAAAGAGATTCCAGTATATCCTCCAGCTCATGATCGTTAACATGCCAGCTGAAGAAAGAATGAAGGAGGCACGACGGATACTGAGATCTGGAGAAGATACTGTAGAAGTGATCTTGTAAATACTAGTCGGGTGTAAAGAACCAAACAAGAGTGATGGCGGCGATGATGAAAGAAGGGCCAAGAAGGAGACGATCCCATCCTGCAGTGACAGGCAACCATGCCGAGCCGGTCCAGTACATGCTACGCTAACGGGGGGCTATGCAGTGTTCAAGTCAATTAATAAGAACAAGCCTACGGCGAAGCTGAAGGGTCGTGATCTTCAAAAAAAGGTATGAGAAGTAAAAAAGAAGTTCTCCCCGACTGGGAGTCGAACCCAGGTCTCCCGCGCTTGTTCCCGAGTGGGAGTGACAAGCGGAAATCATGACCGTTAGACCATCGAGGAATTGATATATTGTGACCTCACAAGTGTGTACTATCACCTATTCCACCTAGTCCTCGGGCATCGTATACACAACCACCGTCAACAAGCTTACAATGCCATCCAGGAGGCTTGAGACGTTGACACTTTTCCATATGGACGTCTTGAATGGCATTATAACCCAAGATCTGAGGTGTTCGTCGAGAATTGTAATCCCGTGTTGTCGCTTCGCCTTGGGAGAACGAAGAGTGCAATTGGCGTTGGGGAATATCTACTATTTATACTTCATCCTGTCGTACAGTACTGTCATCCCCTCCCGCGCTGTGATGTGAGAACGCAGAGTCAAATTCACATTCACTGCCGAGGGTGTCTGAAGGAAGAAAGACCAAACTCAAAGCAACATCATTCGTGCACATAAATCACGGACCGCCTCGGAAGTAGTGCTAGGGCATGATTCCGCCTGCTAGCAGGACCGCTCACATGCGTCGTTACTACACACTACAACCACAGTCGAACTCACAACACAGGACTTCGACACCTAGCTGTCATATTACAGCCTGTAGAGAGGGAAAACCTGGGATGATCCCAGACCACCCACAGACCCAAAGCCAAAAAGCAACCAACTGTCTGGACATGTAGTTGCTTGCTTGCACATAGTGTTCTGTCACTTTCGCTCTCATGGAGCAGTAGACATGACACCACCAAGATGAGAGCAATCAATAGTTCTCATGAAGACCCGGAATTACCCCGCCGCAGAAGATACTTCAAAAGGCTCCTCTTCCCGTGTGCAGTCCAGGGCCCATATCCACCCCGCAGAGTACATGCCGAGCCTGTAATGTTTGAAAAGTCCTCTGACCAGCACCCATTTTCGCACGAAGAAGGATCCGAGAGTGACTGAACGAGGTATGGACTGCTCCCCTTGTACCGGCAAGCGAGGAGGGCGGTTCAGGCTGTACCTTGCAGGTTGTTCGCAGAAAACGGTCGGTAACTACACAAACATAGCGCCAAATGGTAATCTCCCCTGTCGATGTCGTGCCGGGTAGTGGCCAGGGGCCAACGACACGCCCATATACCACAAGCGATCCCATGCGGTAATGTTTCATTCAACCTAAAGTTGCATCATGGTTAGGATCAAGAACAAGTCGCAAGTCGGGCCCGAGTGTATGCCAAGCGATTTTTCGAGGGGCAGGCGACCCTTGTGTGCTGTGTTTATTATAGGTTAAGGAAATTTGAGTATGTTACCTGTCGAGTATCTCGAAGTCGAGGGAGCAAAACTGGGTTACCCCGCATATTGACGGATTGAGGAATGGCTCAGGGACAGAAATTAAAAGCATCGGAGGTTCCGCCGGGGTTTTACCCTGCTCGGTAATTGAGAACAGAAGCCTGGAGCTGAGGGAAGGGGGAAAAGAGGGGAAAACAGGCACGGTCGACGTCACGCTACCTTAGTTCCAGTTTCGGTATCCAAGGCCAAGAAGTATGATTATCTGCCCTTCGAAACCGTGTTCGTGCTCGGAGTAGCTGCCTAGCCCAATTCTGGTCAGTCAATCGGCTTCTACTGAATCCTTCTCTCTTTGCTGAGGGTATTCCCGTAGCCACAAAGCTTGTCATCCTACTATATGACTCGGATCCTCGAACAATTCACAGGAGGCAGGAAAGACGGTGTTTTCAAGCCCAGAATAATGCATCCAAAAATGTGGTCCTCATGGGCGAGTGGAAGCATGCATGTGTACATTTCAAGAAAGGCATCGATCGACGTACCGCACGGTTGGCCAAGACGTTCACTCTAAGGCTACCTGTGAAATATGACAGCTAGTTGTCGGGCTTATGTCGGAAGAAACTAGATCTCAATCACCAGCTCGCTTCTTCATATTGTCAGCCTTCGACCTGCTGCTTGTCTTGCTTCTCAAACCCAGCATCTCCACATTGGTCTCCCAACCCCTCATTCTCTGTTTGCCCTCATCTGCCTCCCAATCCCTCGTTTCCTTCTCCTTTGAGAGTAGATTTCTTGGCTATATCACAGCCCGAGGACATATAAAGACATCATGCTAGTCCCGTCAAACAACGGCATTAGAACTATCTTTTGAAGGCTGCAAGATGGTGGTCTTTTCAAGCCTGGGAGGCATCGCCGCCCTTCCTCTATTTCTTTCCTTGGTTCAACAAGCATGCAGTCTTTCTTTGGTCGTGAACAAGGCGGGAGGTAATGCTTCTAGCCCACTCCTATACGGCTTCATGTTCGAGGTATGATTGGATCGCAATGCGTGGCTATGGAACGGCATCTGATAAGCTACTTTCAGGACATCAATCACTCCGGAGATGGAGGTATTCATGGCCAGATGTTGCAGAGCCCTGGCCCCCAAGGGTCATCGCCGAGCACCAGTGCATGGACTGCTGTCGGCAAAGGCACGATTGCTGTCGACAGTGAGAACCCACTGAGTTCGGCAATCCCTCACTCGTTCAGGCTAGATGTCGCGTCGGGTGCCACTGGGGCTGTCGGCTTTACCAACGACGGATACTGGGGCATTCCTGTCGATGGAAACGAGTTCGAGAGCTCTTTCTGGGTAAAGGGTGACTACTCAGGCAAGTTCACAGTTCGCCTCGTTGGAAACAGCACCGGCAAAGTATATGGCTCCAAGACTTTCACCCACAAGTCCAACTCGAAGACCTTCACGCAAGCATCTGTGAAGTTCCCAAGCAAAAAAGCTCCAGACGGTCATGTTGTGTACGAGCTCACCGTGGATGGCAAGGCTGCTGCGGGATCCTCTTTATATTTCGGTTATATAACTCTTTATGGGAAAACATATAAGTCGAGGTTTGTAGAGTGCTCCTCCAGTACGTGATTGATTGACTCATTCTTCTCGTCATAATAGGGAGAATGGATTACGCCCCCAGATTGCCAATTATCTGGCGGATGTCAAGGGTTCCTTCCTGAGATTTCCCGGAGGAAACAATCTAGAAGGAAACAGTGCGGATAATAGATGGAAGTGGAATGAAACGATAGGTCCATTGGAAGACCGTCCAGGACGCGAAGGTTTGTGCATCGTCACTCAGATGTTGAAGCGCGCCAAAATCTAACCTATACCAGGTACTTGGGATTATTGGAATACCGACGCCTTAGGGCTAGCAGAATACTTCTACTGGTGTGAAGACCTGGGCCTCGCGCCAGTTCTAGGCGTGTGGGCTGGATTCGCTTTGGACTCTGGTGGTGGCACCCCTTTGACGGGCGACGCTTTGACTCCCTATGTAGACGATGTTCTTAATGAACTTGAGGTATGCGAGCCCCACAAAACCCAATGGTCGCGACCCCTAAATTTTGATATTGACTGGCCATAGTTTATCCTAGGTGATAAGAGCACCACTTATGGCGCCCTCCGTGCTTCCCACGGACAAGAGGAACCATGGAGCCTCACAATGGTCGAGATCGGCAATGAAGACAATTTGGGTGGAGGATGTGCCTCATATCCAGAGCGCTTCACAGCATTCTATGACGCTATCCATGCCAAATACCCGGACCTGACGCTCATCTCCAGCACGGCCGACTCGGGATGCTTGCCGGATGAAATGCCTGAGGGCACCTGGGTGGATTACCACAATTATAACACCCCTGACAACCTTGTAGCCCAGTTCGGTCAGTTCGACAACATCAACCGTACTGTGGGCTACTTTATTGGCGAATACTCGCGTTGGGAAATCACATGGCCCAACATGAAAAGCTCAGTTGCAGAGGCCGTCTACATGATTGGCTTCGAGAGAAACAGTGATCTGG